TGCGTTACCATACAGTTTCCGAGCTTCGGGCAAGGGGCTGGAGGTTGAAACACACAAAGACACACACAGACAGAGAGAGAGAGGTACGGACCTCTAGTCACTGGTAAGAAGCCCTTTATTCATTCAATAGCACCATGGAGGCTTATATACTCATCAGTCAGGTGGGCCAACAGGTGAAAACCTTATCCTCTGATCCTCAAGGCCAAGGCAACACGTGCTCATGAAGCAGAGCTGGTAAACAACTTTGACACAGCTTTCAGTAACTCAAATCAGAAGGAAAGTAAAGATCTCTAGCAGGGAAGAGTAGCTGGAGGCCAGGACTCCAAATGGTCCCAACAGGTGCTATCTACATCAGAAGACAAATACTTTATGGATGCCACAGGTGACGGGTTGGTGGCATGGGCCACCATGTCTGCCATCCTTTTAGAGTGTTTTGAAGAAGGTGGAGTTCATGCATTGACCAATTTTCAAAAGCAGGAACAGGTATTTCAAAATTGGAGGCATGATTTCTGGGGTGCGGAGAGGGCTGACAATGGGCTGTGAGTGTAACACTTCTTCAAAGAACTTTTTAAAGAAGTCAGACTGCTTTAAAAGTGAGGAAGCTTGTCCCAGGGGGATTCTTTTCAAGTCTGGACTAGCTTGAGTAGCTATTGGTCTATTCGTTTAAAACCACTCCTGCTTATGACAACCATCATTACAAAAGAGACTTTCTAAGAATATTTGTAACTTTTAATTTTTTTTTAATTTTTGTTTTCCAAGACAGGGTTTCTCTATAGTTTGGGGGCCTGTCCTGGAACTAGCTCTTGTAGACCAGGTTGGCCTCAGACTCACAGAGATCTGCCTGCCTCTGCCTTCCGAGTCCTGGGATTAAAGGTGTGTGCCACCACCGCCTGGCTATTTGTAACTTTTAAAATCCTACTCAAGAAGTAGTTGACTGATGAACATCTCCAACTTCTTAAGTTCAAGAGGCCTGGAGTTTTTGTGGGTTTAGAGTCAGGCTGGAGAATTCAGGCAGGGGTCCTAGCATTTTACTATCCTCCTTGTAATTTTCATTCTAGCAGAGCAGGGGTGATCAGGCTGTGCAGGCATAGACTTAATAGCAAGTGTATTTTGAATGTATTTTGTTCCTCCAGAGTCATATACTAGAGTTTTAGAAGCCAATATAACAAGGTTAAGAGAGTTTCCTGGGCAGTGGTGGCACATGCCTTTAGTCCCAGCACTCAGGAGGATCTTAGAGGTCTACAGAATTCCAGGGCAGCCAGGGCTATACAGAGAAACCCTGTGTCAAAAAACTATAAACCAGAAAGAGAGAGAGAGAGAGAATTAGTTCAACCACTTCATCCTCCTTCCCACCTCCTCCTTTCCCTCTCCCTATATTTCTCCCTCCCTCCCCATATCCCATGAGATGCCGTCTGTCATGTTACGATACCACATGAGGCCTTTGCTAGCTATAACCAGTTGATTTTGAGCTTAAGCGTTTCAAAACTGTGAGCCCAAATCGGCCTCTTTTAGTTATGAGCTACTCAGCCTCAGGTATTGTCACAGCAGCCATCAGTGCCCTAAGACAATCGTCATCTCCACCATCATCAAGCTGAAGAAGAAAAGACCTTTGAGACGTACTCCCACTACGTAGCCTAGGCTGGTCTTGAATTCTCACTCTTCTGGCTTAACCCCCTCAAGGCTAAGATTACAGAAAGTGCTACCACACCTGCAAAATGCAGTTTTGAAATTAATTGCTTGGCACACATTTGTATTGATTTTCTTTATTGTTTTTCCCCTTGATATTCTCTCTCTCTCTCTCTCTCTCTCTCTTTCTCTCTCTTTCTCTCTTTGAGACAGTGTCTTTCTATATAGCCTTGGCTATCCTGCAACTCTCTCAACTCTCTCGGTAGACCAGGCTGACCTTGAACTCACAGAGATCCACCCTCCCTTGTGGTTGTGATTAAAGGCTTGGACCACCTCTGCCTGGTCTCTTTGTCTCCTAATGTGATAAGTGGCGAAAGGTTTCTATAGAGATAGTTTAGAATTGTGTGCATTCTGCTCACAATGTTCCTGTCTGTTGTCCTTGGAGACCCAGACAAGGTGGTGGATCCCCTGGAGTCACAGTCATTGTGAGCCACCACCCGGAACTGATCTGTGGGAACCAGGAGTCAAACCCAAGTCCTTTGAAAGAGCAGCCAGTGTTTATAACTAGCCCGTTTAGAACATCTTGATAACATCATATAAACTCTAGGATTGTCATTAAACCTGGAGACATCACCAACAGTTTGTTTACTCTAATGACTGAAAAAATTGGGGGCACATCAGATTTCTCCAAATGGGCAGCATTCTAGTTTGCCGTCTTTTAAAATCTAGAAGGAGAGGACGTCCTTTTAAACTATGCACTGATAAACATTCAATCTTTAACTTAAAATAGTACCCACCAAGCCCGATTGGTGGCAGCTCCTGTAATCCCAGCCCTAACATTTTAAGCAGACCACATGGAATGAGGACTCTTGGATTATTGCACCATTGGTTAGAGGGCAGAGCCTCCCACAGAAAGGAATGGAAAAGCTGCTGGGTCCTCTTTTAGGAACTGATCTGAAAAAAATTAAAAGGAACTTGCCAATTTAAGGACTGAGGCAGAGGAGTATCACAATTTTGAGGCTAGCTACATAGTATCTTTCCATTATGGTAGCCTATAGTGTGAGACCCTGTTTCAAAAAACCCAAATAAAAATAAAGTCACACACACATGGAGAAAGTGCCATAGATCAGCTTCATGCTCCCTTAATTTCAATCCTGCTTTTCCTCCGCTATCTTCCCAATTTTATTATTTTCTTTTTGCAGTGCTGGGGTCTGAACCAATAGCATCACACAAGCTGCCAAGCAATCTGCTACTGAGGTGCACATTCCAGGTCACACATTTTTGACTCTAGAACAAAGCTTCCATTCACGTACCGATAAGAGGTCTGGTCTTACACCTTTCTTTCATAATACCGGGAGGGCTGGCACAATGGGTGGGGAGAGTATTCTTGGAAGCTTGGGACAGCTGGCAATATCCTAACCACATAGAAAAGAGGCTCCAGGCTACAAAAATAAATCTTACTAAACTCAAACCAAATGTTACCCTAGTTCAATTTTAGCAAAAAATTTTTAGATGCCTGCCAGCTACTCCAACACCTTTAGTCAAGAGGAAGAGAGGAAGTCACTGAGGAGGATGAACGAGAACAGTAAAAATATCTTACTTTTTTACAAAGTTTATAAAAGTATACGGTCATATAGACATGTTGCTAAGACCCTTTCTAGGGTCATGGAAGAAAGCACTGCTAAGGCAAATTCCTGAAGGTGAAGTTTTCCCAGCTGACCTCAGGGTCTGGAGAGACATTCTTTGGCCCTTGACTCATAAAACACATGAAGAATTACAGGAGTTTTTATATGGATCATATCTGTCAGTATTTACTGTAGTGAAAAAGTCATGTAAAATACTTTTATTAATATATCTTAAAACAATTATATTACAAGTTAAAAGAATAGCTTTTTTGTTATAAAACATTTAAAAGTATCAATGCGATATTTTTGTTTTGATTTCTGTAAATTCTTTTACTTCTGGCTTGGTTGGGATATGCTCTACCCTTAAACTATGACAAAGGCATTGTAGTCTCTGGAAAATTCAGCTGTGTTGTCATTGGAGTGAAATAATCAAAACCTTCCTACAAAAATTATTGACCCTGACTAGACTTGCAGAACCACAAATTCAGAAACCATTACTTTTGGGTGACTGGAGTACTTATCTCCCCAGTCAAGGCCACCTCCCAGATAAGTGTCAATAAGTTCCATACTTTAGCAAACAAGGAGACCTTTACAGACAGTTTTTAATGAATAACAAGTCTTAGGGAAGTTATTCTTTCACTGACAGGTAAATTATCTCCCGCATTGTCCTTTCTTCCACTTCTAAGGCTTTCTTTAAAACCAGGACCAAGGTCAAACACAACAGTTAGTGCCTCTGACAGCATGCTCAACCGTGTTTTGTTTTTAAAGATTTACTTTTATTAATTTTAACCGTGTGTGCGAGTTGTGTGGGTAAATACAAGTGCTCTTGAAGGCGCAGAGGTGTTAGATCCCCTGGAGCGGGAGTTACTGGCCTCTGTGAGTGGCCCCACATGGGTGCTGGGAACCTAACTCTCAGCGGTTATGCCATATCTCAAACTGTTTTACTGTTGTTGATGCTCGTTTGTTTTGTGTGGGTTTGTCTGGGTGTAGGTAACAAAATCTAAGGCCTTCTTCCATGGTCGGCAAATGCTCAAAAGCTCAGTCTGGCACACCCCTGCTCCCATTATGTAACTTTCCAAGTTCTCCTTGAATCCCAGGCATGTGCTAAGTAAGCGCTTTTTCATTCAATATCGTGTTTAATTCTGCAGACATCCTAGGAGACAGATAATAAATAATACGATATTCCTTTGCAGATGTAGAGCCTAAGATACAGGCAAGCTAAAGCCCAACCTTAGACAAAACTGGGTCGGGATTTAAACCCAGATGATGCTCGACTTCAATCTATTATTCGCTGATTAAGTATACAGGTGGGAGACAGGGCGAAATCCTCGTGTTTCAACGTGTAAATAGGCATTTATCAACCCAAAAAGCCGTATGGGCCAAGAGAGCCCCGACCGCCTGCCGGGACGCACCGTCTCATTTCCTTCTCCACGACTCCGCGTTGGTTTCTACACTCTTATAAGCCTCTCCTAATTTTCTACACACGTCCGTTCTGAAGACTTCGACGCTCGGAGACCGAACGCTGACCCTGAAACGAAGGCGCTAAATTGAACCAGGAACTGGGGGAGGGAGGGGGGGGGGGAACCGTGGTAACCACGGTAACGGCGGCGTGGCGGGAGCTCTGGGCAGGCGCACTGCGTCCTCGCGTGGGCCTGCCTGGGCCTGGAACTCCTCGGGCCGGGGCGACTCCGGGTGGGTGGGAGACCGGCGGCGCGCGCCTGCGCAGTGGCGAGGGCGCTGGTGTGACCGAACGCACGTAGCGAGGGCTGGGGCCGTCCTTTCCCCGGCGCGCCGGCGCAGGCCTGGGGTTTATAAAAGGGCTGATGGGCTCCCTCTGTCGCCCAGTCGCACCGCCAGCAGGCAGAGGGTAGCTGGGAGGTAGCCACCGGAGCGCAGGCGACGGGACCCGACAGGACCAACCGGACCCGAGCTGTCGCCGCCCTCACGCACGGCCCGCTGTCCAGGTGAGGCTCTCCTCGGACCTTGGGGACCGACGCCGGCCTCCCCGCGGGCAGCCGGGGACCCCCTCGCCCTGGGCGGCGGGGGCTCTGCTGCCCTTTCCCACCGCCGCCCCCGGGTCTCTCCGAGGGGGACTCGGCCCCGCACCCCCGAGGCCCAACCTTCCCGCCGCTCGCCCGGCTTCCCTCGCCGCCCCCGTCCTGCCTCTGGCTAGGGCTGCAGTAGCTTCTGCCCCGCCCCAGGACTGGGACCTTCTTGAATGTTCCATCCCGGGCAGCCTGCCTCCCTGTTGACTTGGGTCGCGCGCGGTGCTGGTCCTCCCTACAAAGTTGGGGGAAGGCGAGGGCGGGCGGGGGTCTGGGTGGCCACAGCGGCAGATGGTTAGCATGTGGCATCGGAGAAAGCTTGCGGCCGGGGCTGAGGCACCCCGCCTTTTTCTTTTTAACTTTTGCAAAGTGAAGCTGGGAAGTGGGACCTACTCAAAAGTTAGAACTGAACTTGTCTGTGGCGCGTCGCGGTGCTGCCTCAGCAGTTAGACATAGCCCGGGGACGTGAGCTGCTGGAGCGGAGAAGTTGCTGTCATTCACAGCTGGGGAAGCTGGCTTCTTCCTTCCTCTTCATCCCCGGGAATCATTTAAGGGCGCGTGAATCCGTCTCTCTCCCTCTCTCCCTTTCGTCCTTCTCTCCCCCTCCTCTCGTTCCGCTCACCCCATGACCCTCCCCTTGTAGGGTCGAAAAGTCAGTTCATTTCAGTCAAACCTTCCGTGGTTGTGTGAGCATTTTAATTTGAGTTTTGTGATTGTGTGTGTGTGTGTAGGTGTAGGGGGAGGAAGGATGGTACGATAAATAGGAGACTGTTTCAAGAGTGGGAACTTCATACAAATGCAGCTTTTAGAACGCTAACATCTTCAGAGGGCCGCACGGAATGAGGACTCTTGGATGTTTGCACCGTTGGTTATAGGGCAGAGCCTCCCAAAGAGAGAAATGGAGAAGCTACTGGGCCTCTTTTAGAACCTGGGGGGAAAAAATTAAAAGGGACTCGCCAGTTCTTTCAACTTAACTGTTCCTCAGAGAGCTGTGGCTCTTGGACTTTTCCTTGGAATGCGCTCTGGAGGGATGGATTAGCGGCTCCGTGAGCGGGGGAGGGGGGAGACGTGGCAGCAGTGTTCTTTCATGGACTCTTTGCCTTTTTTTTTTTTTTAAGGTTGAGGGGGGAAAAAACGTATTTCCCTTCTCAGGTTTAGATGTAGCTTATGAATGGAGCTAGTCTTTTCCTAAAATAATCATGTTTAAAAAAGTCACGCCTGCTTAGTAGGAACATTGGAAATTAATTTTAAAATACATAAAAGGATTATTTGATTATTTCTATGGAGAAGATAGATTTTTAAGCAGCAGGTAGTAAAGAAGCTGAAAGTGGCCGCGCTTGAATTTGTCGTGATTTGAAATATGAATAGCGGTGATTTCTTTTTTTCCTCTCAACCTCTGATTTTTCTTTAACTTTGGGTTTTAGCCTGAATATCATTTCAGAGCGTTAAATATGAATTGAAGTTTTACCTTTTTCTTTCTATAGGAAGCATAGATTTTTTTTTTATTACTTTAAAAGGTCATGACACTTTGATTTTGGAATATTGTGTCTGATGTTTTTTGAGGACAAATGCCTTTTGGATTTCCAGGCTAAGGAAGAGACTATTTCCATTGTTACACTGAGATGGGTTTTATTTGAGATACTGGAAGCAGGGACTGTGATATAAAAGGATTGGGCGGTTTGTCGATTGGTTACTCAGCTAGCAAAGTAGGTGAAAAACAGACGCAACTTATAATTATTATAAAAAATAAATATTGAAGGAAAAAGTTTTAGGTCAGCTGTGTATTACCACTGTTGCAGGTGAGCCTTATAGCTGTGGTAGAGATGCTATTATTTCTCTGTTGCTTCAACGTGAGTTAAATATTGACAAGCAGCATGATTCATGGAATAGCTAATTTGAAACATTTGTGTTGATGCCAGGTATGTGGTAGGAATTGGGAAAGCCATGAAGTTTGTGAACCTTAGTTTCTATGGAAGGAATGCTTTGTTTTTAATAGATGACTAACCTGGGGTGTAATTATTGTTCTTAGACCAATCCGTGAGATCCAGAATGGTTTTCAAACTGTTTTGAGGCCATGAAACCCCTTGAAAGCCCTCAGGAAAGTGGGGGCCTAAATCAGGAAATACAAATATATGTATTTATATATAATTTTGTAAACCATTTTGTTTTGTTTTTGTTTTTCGAAACAGGGTTTCTCTGTAGCTTTGGAGCCTGTCCTGGAACTAGCTCTTGTAGACCAGGTTGGCCTCCAACTCACAGAGATCCGCCTGTCTCTGCCTCCTGAGTACTGGGACTAAAGGCGTGCGCCACCACTGCCCGGCTAATTTTATATACCATTTCATGCTCCCATCCATTAACTCTCTATTATAAGAATTCCTAAAAAAATAAAAGATGTGAAGCTACTATTCAAGAATATCTAGGCTTCTTGAGCAGTCTTAATTATTTCAGAAAGTTGAGTTGAGATGTCAACTTCATTCAAGTATGTAGATGGTTCTAATAAACTTTTGCTGAAAGTGCTTTTAACAAAATAAGTTTTTAGAATTGTTGAATTGCTATATTGTAAGTCAGAAAAAGTATGTCATATCTTGTCCTTCCTCTCCCCCAATATTGTAACACTTTGAAGGTGGAATAAGCATGAAGATAAGAGAAATAACTTGAATGGTTTTTGGCATTTAATTTTATTGTCTTTTTGTGGTAAGATCCTAAATCTTACAATTAAACCATCTATGGCACATGTGTATAAACATGCATATGTGAGACAAGCCAGATAAAATGGGTGCTTACATATGTGAAATCAGTGAAATGTTCTTATATAAATTGGAGCTATTCTGTCATTAGTTTTCTTTTAGCCAGATAGATATTATGCCTGAATAAAAGCCAAAAAAAAAAAAATTTAAAAAGAGTCTCAGAAGTTTTGAAGCAAATTCCTTTTTTTGTCTTCATTTGGATGCTTAGAATGACTGTTAGTATATTTGGCTGAATGTTGGCTAAAAATACAGTACTAAGATTCATGCTTCTTACATAACTATCATCAGAATAAATTCTGCCTTAGATTTCTTCTGCTTCCTGTTTTTATAAATGTGTCCATGTTTTGGTTGCTTACAATTTTCTTAGTAATAGTAAATCAAATTAATATATCATCCTTCTGGTAGTGTACATTTGAGCAGTTATAAATAATATAAAGGGAAGACTTTAATTCCGTGCTTGTTTCATTTGTTTTGATGGTTGTATAACTTTAACTGGTTTTGTTTTCATCTCTGTAATTATTGTTTTAAGAAAGAGTCTCACAATGGTAGCCCTGGTTGACCTGGAACTCCTCAGACTAAAAAGATCTGCCTGTGTCTGCCTCCCAAATGCTGGGATTAAAGGCATATGCCACCATGCCCAGCCTTGTATTAGTCATTTTTCTGTTATGACAAAATGCTCAAGGCTGGATAATACAAAAAGAAAAGAGTTTTGTTAGTTCATGAATCTGGAAGTCTTACAAACGTGGCTCTCACGTCTGGTCAGCTCTGGGGATGGCCTCACAAGAGATGGCTTCACAATGGTAAGAGTGTATTTGAAAGGGAAACCAGATAGATGCAGGGGTGCGGTTCACTTTCCCTAATAGTCTCCTCTTCAGAGAATGGATGCACCCTGAAGCAGCGTTATCCCTTCTAAGAGTGTTGTCTTAGCAATTTAACCACTTCGGTAGACCCTTCTGAGAATGGTGTCCCCAGGGACTTGACCTCCTAGTAGTCCCCACCTCTTACAAGTTCTACCACTGGGGCTGGGCAGATGGCTCAGTGGTTAAGAGCACTTGCCACTCTTGAGAAGACCTGAGTTTGATTGCCAACACCTACATGGGGGCTCACAGTTGTCAGTTACTGCGGTTCTAGAGGATCTTATGCACACTCTTCTGAACCTTGAGGATACCAGGCATGTATGTGTTACACATACATACATGTGGCCAGAATACATATAAACATTTTAAAATCTTTTTTATTACATTTTAAAATCTTAATAACAAAAGAAAAACTTTAAAAGTTCTACCATTTGGGTGATGAGATAGCTCAGTAAAGACACTTCTCACCAAGCCTGGAAACCTGAGTTCAAGCCTCAGGACCCACTTACTAGGGGAGAGACCTGACTCCTGTACCTCCTACTTGTGTATTGTGGCATGTGTACACCCTTGCACTCCCACTCCCCTCTACAGCCACCCTGGGAGACTAAACTTCCAACTCATGAACCTTTGCGGTTTAAAGGCATATCCAAACCATAGAATCAATCATTGTACTGGGTACTAAAATAATTTAGAAAGTGCTCCAGAAAATATTTTTTATTTTTGAGACACTCTTATCATGATGTAGCTCTGGCTGTCCTGGAAATCACTGTGTAGTTTTATATACACGTATGTAACTTGTCTCTACTCCTAGTGTCTCCTTCCTCTATTCTGGGGATTGAACCAGAGTTTTGTGCATGCTAAGCAAGTACTTTTTCCACTGAGCCACATTCTCTGTGCCTTCGAACTTCACTTTTAAGGAAATTCTGAGAGGTACTTTGATAATCAGCTCCATTTTACAAATAAAAGATTCAAAAAGGTCTCTTTGGTTAAGTGGCAGCGCTAGGATGCAGGTTGTCCATTCTCTTGACTGACATTTCATGTTACTCTGTCCTTGATTACCAGCCTGACTGGCTCGGGTAATGAAATAATTTCAACATTGAACTAGAGGTCTTAATTGTCATAGACTCAATCGTTGTTATTTAATTTTTTAAAAAATGGTGTTGGTAGGTATCAGATTTAATGCCCTGTACGTTTACTTCTGAGGTACATCCCCAGCCTAATGATCATATTTAAATTGTTCATAGCCTGGGGGAAAATCAGTAGTCGCAGAAAGTGTCTCATAGAACATGGAAGCTTTTCACCTGCCAACATGATG